GGGGGGGGGGGGGGGGGGGGGGGGGGGGGGGGGGGGGGGGTGGAGCAGGGGACTCAGGGAGCCATGGCGGAGCAGACAGTTACTAGAAGTACTACATTAAAAGTTTTGGCTAATGGAGTACGTACTGGCAGACCAGTACTGAGACATAAGACTAACCACAGACTTAATAAAAGAAAAAAAAAAGTCTTACCTGTGAACCTTTTTTACTGCCCGGCAAATTTATGATGAGAGTTTTCCCTCGGATACCACACACGGGTCTGCACACACACAAATCAAGACAATTCAAAAGAGACTAATTTCAACATTGATAAAAATCAGAAATGTTAATTGAGTAGCAAATCAGCATATTAGAATGCTTTCTGAAGGATCATGTGACACTGAAGACCGGAGTGATGATGCTGAAAATTCAGATTTACATCACAGCAATAAATGACATTTTACAAGATATTACAATTACATGGAAATCAGCTATTTTAATTTGTAATAATATTTCACAATATTTAAAGTTTTTAGTGTATTTTTGTACATTTTATTGTATTTGAGTATAGGAGACTTCTTTCAAAAACAATGAAAATCTTTAGCTTTTAACAGTAGTACATACATATTGATTATAATTATTATTATATGCAGGCAAACAGGAAACAATTGTAAATTGTAATTCTGAATATAATAGCATTCCATAATGGCTTGTTTCTGCCACGTGATAAAAAACATCAAAAAGGTAATTGCAACTTTTTATCTCACAATTTGGACTTTTTTTCATGCAATTCTGAAAAAAAGTCAGATCTGTCATTTAAAAAATTGCAATTCCTTTTTGATTTTTTATTCCATGGCAGAAACAGGCTTCCATAAAATTCTGATATTTGCATTATTATATTCTTTAAAATGTTCCTATAAGTCTATATCTAGCTGTTATATTTCTCTACTGGAAGCTTATGTACGTCGAGCCAATGAAAGTCTGATTTCAATGAAGTCAGTGTCTTTGATTGAGAGGCTAATCTGGGATCAGTTTTCTCTGAATATACTAGTGAGTATAATTATGAATGAAAGTCAAATATCTTCTACACTGAGATGAGCATGTTGAGGACACGTTGAAGTGAGACCTGGAGAGCATTCCCAGAGGAGTGACATTCAGAGAGCCCACCAGCATGGCCAGAGACATCCCTGGAGCTTCCCGCTCGATCACCTCTTTAGTGGCCTGGACATACAGACAGAATGAGAGAGAGAAAGAAATTATGTCTCTTTAATGTCTCAGATTTGTCTAGACCTGCTGAGATTAAATGAATGTGTCTCAAACTGTGTTCAAATGTGCCAAGATACCAAAGTTTGCAATCAAATGTCAGAGATCTCGATATGAAAATTTTTCATGAATGATCTGAGCTGCTATCCACTTTCATTTTAGAGCACTATACACTTATTGTATGTCAACAGCTGTCTTATTTGTGTCTTATTTATATATTTCGTGAAATGAAATATTACTAAGAACTCCATTGTGTCTTCTGAGCTATTGAAGAGCAACCTCGGAGCGATACCATGTTCCTCTGGGAGAGAAGCTTGACAGGAATGTCACAGATCAACAGAGGCTGGTCACATTAAAACCCTGGATGATCCTACTGTATCACTCACTGCACAAAATAATCATCTGTGTGCGTGAGTGACACATCATTAGAGAAGAACGAGGGAAAACATCAAAAGAGGAGTATCGATGAGACTCATGGGATGAGCAAGAGAGAGTGTGTGAAAGACAGAGAGTCACAGAGTCGCCTTTTGCAGAGAAATACAGTGGAGTCTAAAATCTGAGACCACTAGAGCTTCTATTTCGCATGATTCTCATTTTATAATTGATGGCAGAACTGGAGAAGACAATAACTAATAATTTAAGATGTTTCAAAGCGCATCTTGAACTAAATTTGTACTGAATTGGCCACAACACACATGAAGCTCCATCCATTCATCTGCTCATCCATCCATCCATCCATCTGTCTGTCCGTCCGTCCATCCATCCATCAATCCATCCATCCATCCATCCATCCATCCATCCATCTATTTCTATCTATCAGTCTGTCCATCCATCCATCCATCCATCCATCCATCCATCCATCCATCCATCCATCCATCCATCCATCCATCTATCTATCTATCTGGTGTGACATCAGAACTCATCTCAGGACGTTTGGACGAGAATATGGCACATCAATAAAGGCGAGATGAGGCGAGATCAGGCATCTGAGAGCTGTTGAAGGCTGAGATCTGATCTGGACCGGTGTGAGTGCTGGAAGTCAGTTCATTCATCCATCTGCCCATCTGTCTGAGTATCTATCAGTCCATCCATCCATTCATCTGTCCATCAGTCCATTTGTCCTTACATCCATCTGTTCGTCCTTCCCTCTGTCAATCCATTCATTCATCTATCCATCTATCCATCTATCTATCTATCTATCTATCTATCTATCTATCTATCTATCTATCTATCTATCCTTTCATCCATCCGTCCATCCAGCCGTCTGTCAGTTCATCCATCAATCCATCCATCCGTCCATCAATCCATCAATCTATCTATCTATCTATCTATCTATCTATCTATCTATCTATCTATCTATCTATCTATCTATCTATCTATCTATCTATCCTTTCATCCATCCGTCCATCCATCCATCCGTCCGTCAGTTCATTCATCCATCTGCCCGTGTATCTATCAGTCCATCCATCCATTCATCTGTCCATCAGTCCATTCGTCCTTCCCTCTGTCAATCCATTCATCTGTCTATCCATCATCCATCCATCCATCCATCCATCCATCCATCTATCTATCTGGTGTGACATCAGAGCTCATCTCAGGACGTTTGGACGAGAATATGGCACATCAATAAAGGCGAGATGAGGCGAGATCAGGCATCTGAGAGCTGTTGAAGGCTGAGATCTGATCTGGACCGGTGTGAGTGCTGGAAGTGCTCTAGTGATGGCAGATGATTCAGTTTGGCTTATGGTCAGAGTATTTGGAGTGTTTTATTGAGGACTGTAAGAGAATATTTTAGGCAGGAACACACATCTCACTCTTCACACACACATATGTGGTGCAGGACCGACCTCAGGCGTGACATCCCGAGGAGCGAAGCCGGTGCCACCGGTGGTCAAAATCAGGTTCAATTCTTTCTCATCACACCAGTCGATCAGAGTCTCCTGAACCAAACAAAAAGAAATAAATATCAGCAAACCCTCACATGTCTCTTATGCTCATCGAAGGTTTATTTAATCAAAAATACAGTAAAACTGTAAAAATTGTGAAATATTATTACCATTTAAAAATATTTTGTTACATTATAAATGTCTTTACTGTCACTTTTGATCAATTTAGTGCGTCCTCACTGAAAAAAGTATGAATTTCTTTTAAAAAAAAAAATCATACTGACACCAATCTTTTAAACAGTGCTGTGTTTTTTAGGCTGCTATATGTCATTATTACATCAATTGTTGATAAAACCATTTTATTTTCCTGTTACCGTACCTTGATCTCATCAATTTCATCAGGGACAATTTTGTAAGCGGAGATGGTTCCTCCAAGCCTGAAAAACAAGATCAGGTCAGTATTAGAAGAAAATCTTTAGGACCATAAAGACAATGTGTTTGTAGAAATCAAGCTTTTATTTCTATTGCATGGTGCCATCCTGTGGCCAAATCAAGAGGTAGGACAAACAGAGAGAGCGAGAGAGAGAGAGAGAGAGGAGGAGAAAAGCACTTGAGGCAGGAGGTGTAGAGCAGCAGACAGGTCTTATGTAAGGTCTCTTTTTCCTTCTCGCTCTTTTTCCCCCCTTTTTGCATGTGTGTTATTTTTACGAAACTATAGCATCATGTTTCCTTGCGACAACAGACTCTCTCTCTCTCTCTCTCTCTCTCTCTCTCTCTCTCTCTCTCTCTCTCT